AATGAATCCAAGATAGTGGGATACATTTACCTTGGTGTTTCTCTTGTTTCTCTGTCTTGACCTGATATCTGGCAGGACTCTTTAAGCATGTCATACATCCTTTGAGGAAAATTTTAAACAATTAAAAAGTACTTTCTTTCATTAGGGTTACGGTAAGTTTGGGCCAGCAGCCAATGAATGAGATTTCTTGTTTCAGACTTTCTGTCACTTGGTGTAAATTCCAGCTTCCTCTTTGGTGCAAAACATGAGAGTATTTAAAAAAGAACACATAAAAAAGCATTAAGAAGGTAATGTGACAGGTTTGTGACAGGTTTTTAAAATCGAGAATATGAAAAGAGCCATTTCCAGAAGAAAAATATATAAGAAACACGACCAATGCAGAGGAAATGCTCTTCCCTATTCTACATCTAATTAAAAGAATCTTCAGTAAATTAATTAGGTTTGTAAATCAAACCAAGAAACTGCAAAAAGAAACAGCAAATTCATTCATTTTAGTGAAAGAGATGGAAACCAAAAGTTAACTGTCTTAATAAAATAACTGTTTCAAGTTGTTATTACAATCTACTATTCATGATGGATTTTTTATCCAAAAATATGTAAACACTAATATATTTGGTTTAAAAATGTTAGTAGTCAAACTTTTTAGGATTCACTTTACATTTCACACAAAATTGACAAATTGTTCCTCACACAACCTATAATTCAGTCAGGTTTGCTTTATGATACAGCCATTTATTCTGTCTCGAGAACTTGGTGTCTATGCACAGATTAGCAACACTCTTGAGCAGGTTTACTTTACAATCTGTTACTGAAGAGGAATTTATGCTCCTCTTGTTTTGAGATTCCAGTCCTGTTATTGAAATCCTAAATATTGCATTGTTTTTCAAAAAGAAAAAAACTTCAGGTATAGGCTATATTTGCTAGAATTATTGACTACAACTCCAAGTTTCCTACTATAAGAGTGTGAAGAGAGTCAGTGAGGTCACAAAAGAGTTTAATTTTATATTTTGCGTGAAGTACCATGATGTTAAGGTTAAGGTGGATTAAGGTTTCTCCTTTTGTTTCCTTTCTTGGGGAATTTTCTTTCCCAATTTTTTTTTTTCTGGGATACACTGATTGCCAAGTCATTCTTTTGCTGGCTGGGTGATTGGGGAAGACAAAAGGACCTACACCCTCGGTGGGGCCAAAGGGTCTCTCTGGGCACTTCTCCTGCCTGGCAGGTTTTTTATCCCTTTCTTTGGAGAGAGGGAATTTCTTGCAGGAGTTTTGGGCTCGGGGAGGGCATGTGGGTGTGGGGTGGAGAGTAGCTTCACTTCCTGCCCTGCTTGAGTCAGGAGAGGACAGTGGACCTGCTGCTGCAGAACCCAGCATCCTGTCATTGGTTCCTGTTTGCTGCACTGTGGACTTCTGCCCCCCTGCCTTGCTGGGGACCCCTGAGATTCCAGCTGCAGTGGTTGAGTTCTGCTGCATCCCATCTCGCAGCTGTGGGATTCTGCTCATTTTTTGCACATCTGACCGTTCTGAGGTTTCTTGCTACCCAGAAGGAGCACCAAGATCAGCGTTTTCCCCTGTGGGTTTGTAGGGGAACTTTTTCTCCATCCACCTCTGCTGGTTTTTGTCCGCCATTGGCCACTGAGATCTCTGAACCAGCCAGGACCTGCGTCACAGCACCTCCTCCAGCCGCTAGGGAATCATCACACCTGCCCTGCCCAGCCGGGAGCCAACAGYACCCCTGCTGAGTGGGACTGTAACTGCACCAAAGGGGAGGGTGTGTCTGTGTGCGAAGCTGTTACTGGGTTTGTGGCTAGGTTGGTTGTTGCTATCGTTGTTGTTACTTGTTTCACCTTGTTATACATATTAGTACAAACTATTATTSCCTTTTACCCATATTCTTGCCTCAAAAACCATGATTTTCAAAGATATAATAATTTGGAGGGAAGGTGGGTCATATCCACCCCTCCAAGGTGAGGGGTCCCTGTCTTCATTGGCAAACACCTGTCTTTCAAAACAAGGCACACCACTAGCTGGTGTTTCACGTGCAGTCCTCTACCTCTGGCAATGAAAACTGGGTTAATAAATGTTTTTTGTAAGTTTATAACCAGGCATATGAACCTATGACATGATTCCGCACCTTTCATTCCTTCTAGCTATGTCTCTCCTGACTAGCCTGTTTAGTGTTTCATCTGTGCCTATTACAATATATCTGATMTTTTTAGCTATTTGTTAATTGCACTAATGTATTAAAACTGTTGCTCTGAAACACAGATTTTAAAATTCCCTTCACACTAACTTTAAGTGATGGACCCTACCCATGGTAGTGGGAAATGGAGAATGGGAGACACTTGCCTACACAACATACCCTTACGCAAAAATATCTGACTAAAGAGAACAAATGGTGCTACATTTTTTRTTTAATTTTTTCCCAACTGAGAGGTCTACAAACATGATTATATGTTGGGACTACTAATTAAAGAATTTTATTTCAATCATGTTTCATTTCTATATAATTATAACTGTGATAAGTGTGCCACTTTTTAAAGTTTACTGAAATATTAATTTCATTTTCAAATGGGCTATCACTGAAATAAATGTTTCTAATTAGACATACTGTAATTTTGGAATAATGTCGGTTTCAAAAAAAGCTTTTTAATCAAGACTGTCATTTACCTTATTCCAGATTCTGAAAGACCTTGCAATTTAACTAAGAGGATCATAATTTTTTTCTGTTTTGACATATTCAACATTAAAAATTTGCCTTTCAGTTTGAAACAGTATTTCTTTCGGATGTTCATTAATTTTTATTGTTTTCACTGGAGAATTAAAACTATAAATTAATTTTTGAGCAGTTCTGATCCTTTGAATTATAGTTCAGTCCTTATTCAGTATATCTAGACTGTAGAAAATAACTTAAACACTGTGTCTATGATTACTGCATGGCAATATTTAGTTATACCATTGTAAAACAGTCTTGCTTACCTAAGAGCAGATTCTACATTTTTAAACCTAAATACAGGAACCGATGTTCCTTAAACCTTTCTGTAGAAGTAAAAAATACTCTGCTGTACTGTGTTATACTGCTTGATTTTGTTTAATTTGTATAATATTTGCTAAAATCCTCTCCAGGGTGAAAATATTTGTCTAAAATGTATTGACAAATAATATATGAGATTTAGCAGCCCATACATGGTCCTTACTATTAAAATTTACTTGAAGTGCTTATGTAAATAAAGAATACTGTTTAAAGTTTGAATATGAAAAAAAATCTTCTTTTTGTTCAGGAACGCTTTATTCACTTCAGCAAAAAGGGAACTTCACTTGCTCTAATTGTTTGTAGTTATAAGAATTTGGGTATTAACCCATGGTCTGGCCCACCATTTACACCACCATCTATCAATGCTGTTCCAAACTTACCAGATCTAAGTCTTTTACTTAAGAAAATTTACATGAACGATTGACAGAGACCAGTCTGATTCTTATTTATGCCTCAACATATGTTCCACAAGGTAAAAGATGGCTTCCGGGAGTAGTGTGCTTGCAGGGAGCCTTGTCCCTCGGGAGGCTTTGCCTGGCAGCCAGTCACKGGAGAGACAGCTTCCCCCACTGCTCTGCAAGCACCCTGCCTCCACCTTGTTGGTGGGGCAGATGCCCGGATGCCCGGGAAAAAAGCCCGCGGAAAAAACGCGTGGGAAATAGGAGGGCGAGGCATATAAAAGCAGCTAACTGCGACACAACGGGGGCCATTTTCCTTTGGAGTTCTTGGAGGTACCGGGGGCCCGCCTCGAGGGTCACCTTGGCCTCCCCCTGCTCCTTCGCTTTTCCTTTTCTCCCTGTGGTCCTGCCTTCCCTGTCCGCACCTGTCTTCTCCGTGTGCTCTGTTTCGCCGCTTTCCCGAGGCATCTCGACCCTGCGACAACCTCGTGTTTGCTGTCTTCCCGACGGAGCCGCYGCCTGCAGCAGCCGCTGTCGTGAGTCCCACAGCCCCAGCCTGCCCACAACCGCGTGTCCAGCAGTGCCCGCAGCCGTGTGTCCAGCAGTGCCCGCAGCCGTGTGTCCAGCAGTGCCCACAGCAGCCGTGTGTCCAGCAGTGCCCGCAGCCCCAGCCTGCCCACAGCAGTCGCAGCTATCTCACGAGTGTGCCCGTAGCCACRGATTCGTCTTCTCCRCTGTYGAGAGGGACACGCAGCCGCTGCTGTTTGGAAATCGCGCCCAGCCGCCTCAAAAGCCGCGCAGCCTCCTCGCGGTTCGCAGCACACACACACACGCACTCTCCTTCTGCCAACGTCGACGGGGTGCCCGGGGTACAGCGGTTACAATCTGTCTCTTATTCTGTCTCTCTCCGTTTCTCCTTTTCTCTCTTTTCTATTCCCCCCTTGGTAGGAAGTGGTAGGAACACTTACCCTTCTTTATCAATAAACAGTTCTCAGATATAATATTGCYGCGTTTGCGCTTCATTTTTTGTCCAAAAAATCTATTAAAAGARTCCTCCCCGACTCCCTCTTTCGAGCGGGACGGGACATTAAATTGGTGGCAGCGTCGGGATTTTTGGACAAAAAATATTATATCTACTTTAATTTGCTTGGTGTGTGTTTGTTTTAGGGAGAGATTTACTTGGGCATTGAAAGAAAAAAAAACGGTGTGACCCTCCCTGAAATATGGTRCCTGTAACTGATTCACTGTGTGTTCTCTCAGAGAGTGCTTTTGGGGTACTTTTGAGACTTGTATAGTGTGACCCCCTCTGAGACGCATTCCACACCCCTTTCTGTAGCTCTTTGTGTAACTRCCTKTGTGCCTRAYGRTKTGWTCTCTCGGGTGGTGCTTTTGGGGGCACTTGGAGACTTTACAGTGAGACCCCACTCGAGAAGAATTTTGGTCCCCTTTTTTCAGTGTATTAGGTCGTATTTGAAAGTGTGTTCTCTTGGGGAGTGCTTTGGGGCACTCAGAAATCTTACAGTGGGACCCTCCTCAAGAGTTGTTGGCCCCTYCTCGCAGTGTGCYAGGTTATTTTTTGYAGTGTCAGGYTGCTTGCAGCGGTTCTCCCAGAGGATAGAACAGTGTTACCCTCTGCGGGAGGTGGTGCGCGGTTAGTTAAAATCTTTTGTGTGBGTTTGGAGAGTACTTAGTTCGAGGATTCAGTTAACGTGTGAGCCATCCCAAAAGTCGTTTGCCCGCGATTCAGTGAACAATAGCAATGGATACCGTTGCYCGCCAAGAGAAACCGGGTGGAGACCCGTCCGCCCCCTTGCTTGAGTTTCTAGAAGCTTTCAAAGCTAGACCCTCTCTCCCTGGGTTGGACTGTGCTGCAGAGCACTGGCACAGCGTGCAAAGYGTGGTAGATCGTATCACGGCTTTGCGATTGAAAGCAAAATCTAAACCGAGGGAAGRCAAGGCRGTTGTCTGTGCTGTGTTGGGAGCGGCACTCGCTTCAGCCGTGCGAGAGCGAGCAGCCCAGAGCCATAGAGAGACGGCCGTGATTAAAACTCTGCAAGCACAAGTTCGGTCCCTGCAAGCCCAAGTGGCAGAGCTAGAAGGACAGCTAGAAAAAAGCAGAAATCAGAACAGGAGTTTGATACAAATGTTGCAAAAGGAGCCAGTTCGGGAGCCCGCCATGCCGGCTGCTGCAGGGGCGTCCCCGGATGACAGCACGGCCGGAGCGCTCCCTCCGGCAGAACCCAGGAAAGTGCAGACAGGCTCGCAGATCCGGCCCGACGGCGCGGTCCGTCTGTGCCCGCTGATAAAAACTGAGTTTTTGTATGAGAATAATCAGGACCAAGCACCTGTAATTACAACGAAAGAGGTCCCCTTTACTGCTACTGAACTAGCCAAGTTAAAAAAAGATTTTAGCAGACACCCCCGGGAATCTGAAACAGAATTTGTTTGGASAGTTTCTTTGAGTGGGGGGGACCAAATCCTTCTTAGTGAAAAGGAAGCHGAGGGATATTGGGGACCTGGAGTGTTTCTTACCACAGGGGACCACCGAGCCCCGTGGTCCCTAACCCAGAGAGCAGCTTTCTGGGCTGGAAGTTTAAACCCTCTGGAGAGAGGTGATCCTCTAGCCATAGAATGTAYCACAGATGAGATAGTTGAAAGTGTCCAAAAGGCAGCATGTATTCAAATGATGTATGAGCGTAAGCTAACCCCATTACAAGAATCGCCTATGATGCTGAGAGTAGATGCTGATCGGATGACCCCACTAATCAGAGGGCTTCCTGATTCTCTAAAACCAATGGCAATACAATTACAAGGGAARATACAGGCTTTGGCCCCACTTGAGAGAGTGGCTGCTGCCTTGGAGGGTACCATCTCTTCCCCTGCAGGAAATGGCACTGCCCAGGGAGACAAGGTATGGACTTGGGGAGAGGTAGCTCAGGAACTGATTAATTTTGGACGGAAGTACGGTCGCGTAACGCTAGTAGTCAGCAAACCAGAGACTCTTGAGGTGAGACATGCACGTTCTAGTCCTAGACTATCACCTAAGTTTTCCCCACATTCTAACCAGAGTGAGCAGAAGCATCCACTCACAAGACAAGCAATTTGGTCACAAGGTTTGCAAAAGGGAATCCCGAAAAGGCTAATGGACGGTCTCTCCACAGACCAACTAGAACAGGTAGTGTCTAAGTGGCCAGACAGGATAC